GGGTGTACCCTATCAAAAAGAAGTTAGATGTGTTTTCACAGTTCAAGGAATTTAAAACACAATTAAAACTTGAAACTAAGAAAAGAATTAAGTGCTTGAGGACAAATAATGGAGGAGAATATGTAGATGAAGAAGTTTTAGTATTTTGCAAGCAAGAGGGTGTCATTAAACAATTTTCTGTCCCATATACACCTCAGTAGAATGGTATAGCAGAGTGGATGAATAGAACTTTCCTTGTAAGAACTAGAGTTATGTTGCGAACAACTGGAGTAACCAAGTCTTTTTGGGCAAGAGCGATTAAAACTGTCTGTTATGTTATAAATCGGTCACCATCAACCGCCATTGGTTTCAGCACACCAATGGATATATGGAAAAGTAAACCAATTGATTATTCATCCTTACGTATATTTTGGTTGTCCTGTGTACGTGATGTACAACTCTCAAGAAAGAATAAAATTGGATCCAAAATCCAAGAAATATATCTTTTTGGGCTATGCTGACAATGTGAAGGGGTATTACCTATGAGATCTCACTTTCCACAAGGTTGTTGCTAGTAGAGATGTAGTTTTTGCAGAAAATTAACTGCAAAATGAGAAAACAAATGACAGCTTGATAAAGAATAATGTTATAGTACAAGTAAAGAAGAAGTCTTTGTATGACTTGTCTAAGTCAGATAAAGTCTTCGGATGACTTGTCTAAGTCATAAGAGAAGCACGAAAATCAAGAGCCAAATGAGGTTGGTAATAGAGATCTCCGACGATCAATACGAGAAAAAGTCAGACCATCTTAGTATTTACAATATGTGATGATAAGTCATGATGCGTATTGTCTTCTAAATGAAGAAGGAAAACCTTCAACTTTTCAAGAGGCTATAAGTTGTTCAGATGCTTATCTGTGGATGACTATAATGTAGGAAGAAATTGAGGCTCTTCATAAAAAAAGACATGAAATCTTGTGGAACTTCCGAAAGGTCGAAAAATCATTGGTTGCAAATGGGTCTATAAGATTAAGAGAGATGACAATGATCAAGTAAAAAAAATATCGTGCTAAATTAGTGGTAAAGGAATATGCTCAGAAAAAAGGTATTGATTTCAATGAAATATTCTCGCCGGTTATCAGATTGACGTCCATCAGAGTTGTCTTGACTATGTGTGGTGCATTTTATTTACATCTTGAACAATTGGATGTAAAAACTATTTTTCTTCATGAAGATCTTGAAAAGAAAATTTATATGCTCCAACGAGAAAGCTTTGAAGAACAAGAAAACTTGGTTTGCAGGTTGACCAAATCTCTACACAGTCTAAAACAGGTGCCCAAATGTTGGTATAAGAGATGTGATTCCTTCATTATTTGTCTTGGTTACAATAGACTGAGCTCATACCATTGTACATATTTCAATAGGTTTGATGATAATGATTTTGTTATCTTGTTGTTGTATGTGGATGACATGTTGATACTAAGCCTCAACATAGATCGAATAAGAGTTAAAGACACAATTGACTAGGGAGTTTGACATGAAAGACTTGAGACCAACAAACAAGATTTTAGGGATGCAAATTCACAAAGACAGAAAAGATAGAAATGTTTGACTTTCTCAGAAGAATTACTTAATGAAAATCTTGTGGCACTTCAACATGCAAGATTGCAAGTTAATTTCTAACCCACTTCCTATCAATTGTAAGTTATTCTCAAATATGAGTCCCAAAAATGAAGCGGAGATAATGAAAATGTCTTGAGTACTGTATGCATCAACAGTGAGAAGTCTTATGTATGTCATGATTTGTACAATACCCGACATTGCTCAAACAGTGAGAGTAATTAGTAGAGTCATGGGAAATCCTGGTGGAGAGCATTAGAGTGCTATAAAGAGAATCCTTATATATATATATATATATATATATATATATATATATATATATATATATATATATATATATATATATATATATCAAAGGAACCCCAAGTGTTGCATTATGTTATGGAGGATTAGAATTAATTGTTAGAGACTATGTTAATTCAGATTTTGCAGGTGATCTGGATAAAAGGAGATATATTACTGTTTATATGTTTACCATTGCAGGAAAGACAGTAAGTTGGTTATTCAAGTTATAAGATGTTATAGCTCTGTCTATCACAAAAGTTGAGTACATGACAACCACCCAAGCATGTAAGGAAACTATTTGGATTAGGAAGATAATGGAGGAACTTGGACACAAGCAACAACAACTTGTTATGTATTGTGACATTCAGAGTGTCTTGCACATTGCAAGGAATTCAACCTTTCATTCAAGGACAAAACAGATATGAATAAGATATCATTTTGTTCAGGAAGTAGTGGAAGAAGGAAGTGTGGATATGCAAAAAATTCATACGGATAAGAACCTAGCAGATGTTATGACAGAACCGGTTAGTGTTGACAAGTTTGTATAAAGTCGATCCTACTATGATCTAATGAAAAAAATAAGCAACATGGATGGTAAGAATAAATCAAACATAATATGAAGATTTGATTAATTTAATCAAAATCTTCAAGTGGGAAATTGTGAGAATAGAAGTCTCACATAAGACAAATCTTACTTTTCTTACTATAAAGGAGCACAGTATTTACCCTGTAAACACATCGAAATCACTTTCTTTTATTTCTCTTGCTGCTTTAGTGCTTGAGAGATAAATTAAGAGAGAAAATTAATTTCTCCTTTAAGGTTCTCTTAGAGTTGTTTTTCATTTATTTTCAAGGGAGGATATTATTGTTTCCTCCTTGAAGGTAGAGAGAAATGTTGTAATTTTTTTCGTTAGTGAAATTACTCTTTTGCCTATTGTCGGTATTTTCCCCATCTTTTTATTTTAATTGTGTGTGCTTATGTTTTTGTTTGATACCTAATAATGGTATCAGAGCCGATGGTTTATCCGATGACTGGCTCAGTTGAGTATGATTATAGTAAGTAAAAGGTCATTGTGTCGAAAGTCTTTCTGACAAAGGTTTCTGGCAAACGAGTCCTGTTAAGTTGAACAATGGTACAAGTAAGGTCATTACTAGGTATTCATGGCTAAAAAATGATTCCGCTTGAGGGGGAGATATACCAATGTGAAAGCGAATCACACTTGAGGAGAAGATGTTGAGAATTCAAGTGTGAGTTTAAAGTCTTACATTGAGCAGAAATGAAAAAGTTGAGTAATTTATAAGTGAAAGAGACCATGACCTAATACTTTAAGGTTTTGAGTTGAATGTAATATTATATTCACTTGTATGATTGACTCAAATTTTATTTGTAAGAATATCTTATTATTAGTCCCTTAGAAAGACCCACTAAATTTTACTTAGTATTTATTTAACAACTATGATTTAGTCACATTTATTTAACCATCAATAATAATCTACTATATATATATATATATATATATATATATATATATATATATATATATATATATATACTTATTTTATAAATTCTCCACCTTTATAATTTTTTTCCTTATAATTTTAATCGTTACGTTAATTAATTTATTAAAAAATATCGCTAGAATGATGATATCAACTTTGTGATACTGATGTAGAGCTATTATTTTTATGATTATATTTGTCATTAATATTTTTGTCAATAAAAGAAATTTTTTGAATTCATTACGGTGATTCTATATCTTAAATTATTCTATTTTATGATTTATTTTACATTTTCAAAGATATTAAAATATAAACCGCATGATAATATATTATTATTATTATTATTATTCACTTTTAATAAAATTTGATGTAGAAAATCACAATTATAATAAATTATGATTTAATAGTTTAATTAATAGTTTTTTCATAAAATTATTAACAGTATGATATTTAATAAAAATTATTAAAACTATATTAGTAGCTATATAATTTATTTATAATATAGAATATGTGAAAAAACATTTGTTTTAAAACAACTTATAATTAATTACGATGAATAAATCAAACATTTTTTTTAAGTTTAGATATAAATTATATTTCAAAAATAATTGAAAAATATTTCTACCATAATGCATCACTTTATTAGATTAAATTTAACACTAATGAATGTCATATCTAATATACTTTGTATTGGAATATGATAATACAATGTTTTTCTTAAATTTGTAGTTTCATTCATTATTCAATTTTGCTTCTACTATTTTTCAGTTGTGTCAAATTTATGAATTCCATAAAAATGATTTTAGCATAACAATTGTGAGTTCTTTTGGTTAAAATAATTTTTTATTTTCAAATGATTATTCTTGTAATTCAATTCTTATAAAAGAAATTCCCGACTTAAAAAAAATGCAACATTGTGAAATTTAAATGTATATTTGTAAGAAAATTAATCATATTAATTTGTTTTCTTAATAAATAAGTACACATCTATTTTATTTGTTTTTTAATACATATTAAGTTTTTTTCTTATAAAATTTAATTCAGCTTATATATTTTTTTCACAACAATATTATTAATATTATTATTATTATTATTATTATTATTATTATTATTATTATTATTATTATTATTACTCTGCCTAATATGAGTCCACGTTCTAATAATAATAAAACGATTTAATTATAAAAAAGAATTTTACCATTTAAAATAATTAAATATCTATATAAATTTTTGTTATTTTAAGAATTAAACAGATAAAAGTTTATCTTGTACACAAGGGAGGGACCAATGAAAATTCTCATCAATCAATAGGTAATTAGTAATTTACCCTATTTTTTTATCAACCACAGTTATGATTATATATTATTTTGTTTTATGAAGATTGTTCTTAAAAAAACTCAAGAAGAAAGTAAAATGAAGAATAATTAGTTTGGTTTGGGACGAAAAAAAGATAAAGAGGTGGTGTAAGGGATCCAAGGAAAAGTGCACAGGTGAGTGAGTGAGTTTATTATGTAAAGGTGAATGCAGAAGAAGTTGAAGCTGAAAGAGAACATACTTGACTCAGTTTCGTTCAGATCCTCCTCTCCAACCAATTACTGAGTTACGGTTTCTCTTCACCATGTACAGCGGCTCCAGCGACGGCGAAACCCATGACGCCGCTCATCGGAAAATTCCTCCGGCGTCTTCCATGTTATGGGTCCGCAATCTTCGCCGTTTCATCGGATCCGGCGCCGGTCTCGGATCCGAAGCCTTGATGGGTCAGTATTCGCTCCATTTCGTCGCCATGGTTGCGCGTCTCTCTCATTTTCCCTCTTACATTTCGTTATTCTTTATGACTTGTATCGTTGTCCTACTCAGGACTCTGTTAATTAGAGCACGATTTTCTTCCAAACCCTAACGATTGCTCAATGTATTTTCCTCCTTTCGCAGAGCTCGAAACGAAGAGAATTCTGCTAGACATTTTCAAAGAAAAGCAGAAGAAAAGCGCTGAAGCTGGTACAATTCCAAGTTTCTACAAGAAGGCAAGTTAAATAAAGCATAGCTTCATCGTATTCATTTATACTTTATTAGCGATGGTGGACTCATGAAGACATTGCTGTGTTTTAATTTTTTAAGATGGACACCTTTAAGGTTGCCTTGCATTTTTTTTTCTCGGAGTATTTCCGTATGAATATGTTTGTTGTAATTACAAAAGCAACAACATATAGATTGACTAGTTTATGGATTGAGTTCAAATTGATAAGATAACTGTCATTTACTAGTGCCCTGATTTTTAGAACAGACCCTTGTGTGTTATATTTTATCCCTTTATGGGTCATTTTGTCTGTCATTACAGATTATACAGGATGCTTTATGGATTTTTGAACTTTAGATTTCGATTTCTTTGGCATTCATTTAAGACTTCTTCACGTGATTCAAACATTGATACGCTCTCATCTTCGTTCAGAAACCTGAAGATGGATCAATCAGTCATAGAGTCCAGAGATTGGCAAAGTACCGGTTTCTGAGGGTATCATTTTCTGGCTTACACCTTTCTTGGTTATACTTGCTTAAACAGTGATATTTCTCAATTATTAACATTCCTGGTGCGTTGAACAGAAACAATCGGACCTTTTGTTGAATGCTGATGATTTGGATGCAATGTGGGTGTGCTTAAGAGAGAACTGTGTGATTGATGATGCTACTGGTGCAGAAAAGGTTTTGGCATTTTCACATTTGTGTTTTGCTTCTCCATATGTCCAGATTTTATGGCATATTAAACTAGATTTGCCTTATTAAAAGTCAGATAAATCTTTTAAATCTACCACAAAAGGATTTTTACTGAGACAATATTATTTGTTTCACAGTGATGATTGAAATTTATTCCACCTTCAAAGATGTCCATTTGTCTATCCAAATTATTTTTTTCCTGTTGATTGGGTGATACAAGTTGATTTTATTCACGTAATTAATAATTTGGCGAGATTTTCACCTTAGTAATCTCAAAGTTACAGTAACATTGTTTACATGGATATTCTTTAGCTTTGTACACTATTTTTACAGCAATCCTAATTCGCACTTCAATTTGTTTTCTTATAGATGAATTATGAAGACTTTTGCCACATTGCTTCTGTATGTACAGAACAAATAGGTCCTAAATGCCGACGTTTCTTCAGTCCTTCAAACTTTATGAAGTTTGAGAAAGATGAGCAGGGAAGAATTGCCATTCTACCCTTTTACCTTTATGTGATGCGAACGGTAGGTCATCTGCCAATGTTTACAGTTTCAGTGGCATTGCTGTTTAATCCTTCCGACCACTTCAGCATATATGCAGCTGTGTTACGATTTTTCATTAAAATTTATTGTGTTGGCTTTATTAACCATGATCATGATGAATCTATTTGATGTTTGTGAGTGACAGCTACTGACTACTGGTTATGGTTATGCAGGTTTCACTTACACAGGCAAGAATTGATATGAGTGAGCTTGATGAGGATTCTGATGGTTTTCTTCAGCCACATGTATGAATCCTTATTGCTGTTAGGCTTCCAATCATTTTTGAATCGAACTATAAGTTCAATGTCTCATCTATTCATTGTTTACTTTACTGTACATATATATACATATGCATTTTGTTATAGAAAATAGTTGGATTTAATTTTCTATGACCAAAGAGCAGCATTTCACTGGTCAACCGTGCTCATGGAGCGGTATCACATGTTTTGCCTTATTATGATTAATTTAACCTTTCTTTTATTGTTGTGCACATAGTTCTTATATTATAACCTTAATTATATACAGAGAGGAAACTTTTCTTTTGCCCAAATAAATTTTTGAGAGCTGTAACCTTTGTAGTGGTTTATTTAGTATGGTCAATATGACGTTGGAAAATTATTTGTATTTGAACAATTTCTTACATTCTTGTATAAAAGCATGATGTTAAACTTCATTATTATTAATATTTGCTTTGCTCTTCAGGAAATGGAGGCCTATATACGAGGCCTGATACCCAACTTGGCACAGTTACGGGACATGCCAGCTGCCTTTGTTCAGATGTATTGTCGCATTGCTGCACACAAATTCTTCTTCTTTTGTGATCCTCATAGACGAGGTTTGCATCGCTGATATCTCTTAGTTTTTAAGTTTAGATGTTGCTTCATAGTTTTATTTCCTTTGTTTGAATTTCTGTATTATTACAAAAGATATTCTTTTCAAATTTTAGAATAATAAATAGAAACATATCGAGGTAAAACCAAAGGGGGCATAACTCATCTAGCAGCCTTTAATATGTTCACCAAATAAAAGGAAAAACAGATATCAATTGAGTACGGAATATATAAAATAGTCCTCTTCAATGTTTTCATGGTAGTTTGCAAATTGTTACAACTTTCAATCCTATCATTTTCAATAATCATCTTGTGATAGATTATCCAAAGATGAGATGCTGTTTAATAATAGTTGTTAAAGTGAAAATCCCAATATTTAAGCATATTGTTTCTGAGATTCAAGGAGCATCTAATAAACATTTTGCTTGTCTTATTTCAAGAGAGCATCTATTGCCATTCTCCATCTGAGTTTTTCCATTTTCAGAATCCTACCGATGACAAAATGAGATCTTGATGAAACACAAGCTTCCCAGATATTTTCCCATAGAAAATCCAATCTCTACCCAGGGTTTTATCAAATAAAAGCTATTGATGCTTAGATTCTAACCCCAATTCAATTGCCACTGAAGTTGATCTCGATATTTTAAACTTTTGCACCATAAAACATGTTGAATTAGGATTGACTGGTTTATTATGGATTCTAATTAATAACTAATGTTGGTACTGGCATCGTGTTTGTTGCCTATTGCTTATTCATCACTATTCCTGAGACAACATTGAATTTTAGGTCTAAGTGAACTATGGTAGCTTTCCATTCATTATTCCTGAGACAATGTTGAATTTTACATAGACGGCAACAATGATAGCTTGTCATTCATGATTCCTTGAGACAACTGATCACTTTCACCTAAAGGATATAAGTGTTAGATTTCATAATTTGATCAGTTCCTTTCATGAATATTCAGTATAGACTGTGTTGCAAATAATTTACTATCAGTAATGCTTTGAGCATAAGGTAGGACGCATTAACATTACCTTGTTCATGTTATGATGTGAACATTAAAAATTGTTCCAATTGGTGGTGGTTTTGGTTCACAAGTTAAGTAGAGTAAGGGTCAGTAAACGAGTAGTTAGGGCCATGAGAAAATATCAGTTTAGTCATATATTAATTATATATATCTTTTAAATGTCTGCTTTATGTGTGATCAAGTACTTTGCCTGCTTGAATTTCAGCTAATGCAGAATATTTGTATCCTAGTATTATGAAAGTCATTTTTTTCATATAGGAAAAGCTTGCATCAAGAAAGTGTTGCTTAGTAATTGTCTCCAGGAACTCATGGAGCTTCACCAGGTAGATTGTTTAAAAAGCTCCTTTAATATCTTTGGAAATAAACACCATGTTATTCAGTTCTCTCCCTCTGTCTGGTGGTTGATATTGTCATGGACCTTCTGGTGTTTATCTTTAAATGCATTATCTCACATGATTAATTTGCTTTGTTTATAATAACTGAACTGTATTTTGTTCTACCTCTGCATAAGCTTGAATTCTTATTTTTTATTAAAATGTTGTGTATTTCAGGAAAGTGAAGAAGAAGTCACAGACACAGAGCAAGCCGAAAACTGGTTCTCTTTGACTTCTGCTCAACGCATATGTGGTGAGTTTTCTGTATAGTTTTAGGATTCAGACTCATTTACTTACCCGATGCTTCTGGACCATTCTTGTCCATCAGTCCATCTTTGCTTCTTTATATATACGATTTTCAACGGGTAGTGTTGAGGAACTTATCAAATTTAAAAGAATTTCTTATTAAACTCATGCGTTGACTGGCCTGAGTTTTGATGATGAATTAAAATTATGAATTTAAGTAGGGTTAAATCTATTTCCTGTTGATTTGTGTTTTTGTTCATTCTGAATTTTTTGCAGACATGTTTCTTGCTCTTGATAAAGATACAAATGGTACATTAAGCAAGCAGGAGCTGCGAGAATATGCAGATGGGACTCTGACTGATATTTTTATTGAGAGAGGTAAAAATTTCTACGACAATACCCTTTTCAGATATGGTGCAAATTTTGGCTCATATTTATACCATAGACACGGACATCTATTTACCTCTTCTGAATTCCAAAATGCTGGTTTCCTCCAATTTCCTATTGGGAATAATAATTGTGGTTGATGCCCTTACATGTTCTCTATTTTGCCGTGCGTCTGATTTTTAGTACTGAATTGGAATATAACCTTGGTTTAGTTTAGCAATGTTTAATGTGACCCTGTGTAATTGATAGTTTGATTGCTCATTGTCTTTTGTAAATAATAACTAAAACAAATACACTTACAGTATATGATGAACATATTCGTCACGGAAAGAGTGGTGGTGGGAATGCTCGAGAGATGGATTTTGAGAGTTTTCTGGACTTCGTTCTGGCTTTGGAAAACAAAGACACCCCAGAAGGCTTGACATACTTGTTTCGATGCCTTGATCTTCAAGGGAGGGGTTACCTCACTACAGCTGATATTCACTCCCTCTTCAGGTAAACTGTCATTCTGTTGGTATGCTAGTTCTTACCTCAATCTTTTACTAATATTTTTCTTTACTATTTTTCTTGTGCTCTTTGATTTTCACTTGCATGTGGTGTTGACCATTAGTTTCTTACACAATAAGTTATCAAACTTCTAAACCAGTAATGATTATTTGATGCTATTATTATGGAAGAATAGAAGGGGAGCATCTAGATGGCCAGATGTTGCCTGATACAATCTTCCTATAGAGAAGAACTGTTGTTTCCTGCTTGCAGTGCTTGAGCAAGTACTGTAAGTCTCAAAAAGACAGTCACACATTAGTTATTAGTTCTAAAGATGGAACCCACGGAGGTCGTTGACGTCCCTTAACTAGCAATTGGATTTAATACTCATAATTTGTCATTGTTACTTCAACTTTTCACTGATTAGCCCTTTTTTGTGAAAAAACAGAGATGTACACCATAAATGGATTGAGGGTGGCAACTATGAACTTTGTATTGAAGATGTAAGGGATGAAATCTGGGATATGGTTAAGCCAGCCGATCCACTCAAGATAACATTGGCAGACCTACTGTCCTGCAAACAGGGTGGAACTGTAGCCAGCATGCTAATAGATGTGCGTGGTTTCTGGGCTCATGACAATAGAGAAAATCTTCTCCAGGAGGAAGAAGAACCTGAAGAAGAATAGTTCTGATCAGAGACTTGCTAACATTAAACTGCTGCCTCGGATACATTTCGACTTAGGATTCCTCACAATCACAAGATGTGACACCGCTCATATATTTGAATTGTTAAATGTTGAATTAGTTGTGAATCTCGGCACGTTGACTGTAAAAACATCATAAATTAGTGTGTATGTAGTATAGCCATGGGTTCGAAGTTCGATCCTAACTACACTTTATTTAGCCAAATGCTCATGATGAGTGGATATAAAATGATACTGATTTGTTTTCCTTGTTAAGAGAGGTATAATACCTCACTCTACATTTTAAGAGGAATCTTACAATAAATTTAAATGTTATAAAATTGACACCCCTCGAAAAAAGAAACTCTGAAATTTGTGATTACAATAAATCAAATTTAAACACTTCAGCTGAGTTTTCTTATGCTTCAATTACGGATTCAGTCGAAGCATGAATCGTTTTTGTTTGTTTTATTGAATTAATTTTTATTGAAAAATTGTAAACAGGTTCTGTAAAATTTATCTTTATTGAGATTTTTGAATAGGTTTTAATACCTTAAAGTTTTTAATTTGAATAAAAAATTATTTAATCAGGTTTTTATCCACATTTTTAATAGGTTGCTACATGTAGAAATTAAATTAATTATTACGAAAAAGGAGGAGATACTTAAACTACAGTTCTAATTCATGAATTGTTTGAAAGTTTTACATTATGTAACATTTTTGATAGAAATAAGATAAAGAAATAATTAAAACCATTCAGAAGATCAGTAACCTGGTTATGAAAAAATATTTAATTTTTTAAATGATTTAGAGATTTATAAATTAGTTTTAAAAAACATTTTAAATTGTAATGAACGCCTAATTGTGAAAATCTTTACAACAGATTATAAATTATTTACTTTACGCATTTAAAATGTATGTTAAATTTTGATCCGTGTGTTAGAAATGCGATATCAATATATTATTGGTAAGATCGCCTTTTATTTATGATCAATATGAATTTATAATGTGTAAATTCCTGTGTATTCTGGGTATGCTGCCCTGTATCTGATCTTTATCCTTTTCATGGTATTAAAGCGTGTAAAATGAAATAGATATTAACAAGACGAACCCGTAATGCATAGACTAGTTACCAATTGATGATGATGATGCCATTGACGTGATCAATTATGTTTCAAGTGAATACAATTAACAGATGAAGGTATGACAGTTTTACATGTCATGCTTGTAGTATGGTTGTCAAAAGGACGAAAGATTAGGTTATTTCCACTTTATCTTTAAGCAGAGAAAGCAAATGTTTATCCAAGACTTGGTAAACTCCTGTTAAGAGTAGCATATCATCATCAGCCACTGACTGATTTGTACAGTCCATATATATATATATATATATATATATATATATATATATATATATTTCAGCAAGATATAATAGAGGAAATCGAAGGACAGTGAAAATCAACTAGATGTTGAAACAAACATCAGGTTCAAGAAATGTCATTCAAATTTCTTTTCATTTCCTATTTTTAGCAGCATTATCAAATATTCTGGATAGGGGCTCATGAAGTACATTCTGTTCCCTGTTCCTTTCACGCAGAGGTGTTTGGTGACATCCTCAACACTACAAGCCATCCATTTCACCCTTGAGGCAGTTTGTTGCATAGCTATTGGAACTGAACATATTCCTTTGAATATTATTATACACGTCTCTAGTTGCTAGTTTTATAACAGCACCAATGCCAACTGTTCAGATGTACATGCAGCTTTTAATTTCTATGCTAGGTTTTGGGAGGATGTGGTGTTTTAGATTTCCAACATAAGTACCAAACCTGTAGGAGTCATGCTTCTAGGATTCCTGATTGCAATTCTGCCATCCAAGATGATTGTAGGCATAGCACTCCTACCAACTGTGAGTATGTTATAAGTCCAAAACATTTCGGAATCTAACATTCTTGATTCAGAAAGGCTTTACTAACATTCATAAATTGCCATGTATGTCCACCCTTGGATTTCTTTACTTTCGTGTCACAAGTGATTCTTAGATGTCCTTGTATCTTTGGCCAGTGCATCCAAGATATGGGACAAAAGACCCAAGAGATAATAACTTACCGAAGTAATTGTTATTCTCCAGTCACTCAGGATGTTAAAATTCAACTAGAATAATAGTTTTACATTTTGTAAACCTGCATTATCTGCGAAGAAGATAGAGGCAAAACAATTGAAAACAGTTAATTTCTCATTTAACCGGGAGACTAAACAGGAGAAAAGAAAAATACACAGCTAAAAAAGGTGCAAATTGATTCAATGCTAAATATACCAAAAGAAATCCACTGTCTTGATGACACTATTAAGTTTTAAAACATTGGTCTCGTTTGAATAAATTTCTCATTATTAAATACTAAAAAATGCAAATAACAATAAAAATAAATAAAAATTTTCCATAATTTAAAATCATTATTTTGGAGCGGGTTAGATGAAAAATTTACAAGTTAATTTCAGTTAAGGGTTTACGGCATAAATTAAAATTTACATTAATTTTAGTTTAAGGCTTAAGTTTAATTTATTTTACTTTCTTGTTTTGTTTAAATATTAGCACCAAATACCGTTAACTGAAGTGCCCTTAGAAGCAATCATATGTAAGACCTAAAGTACTCCCTGGCTATGGAGGGACAAACGTCCAACATGACAAACCTTCAATTATTGCTTCAGATTGGTCATCACAAATATTTCTGTTGAATATAGGGAAAAACTGTATAGGGTTAATTTCCTTCAGAGGTAGACCCAAAAACCTTCAGAGGTAAAGGATGGAGAGTGTCATGAGGAAATAAAATAGAATGGGGAATTTTGTTATCTAAAACCGAAGAGGGCATACGATTAATAAGATAACAGGCAGTAAGAACAGCATCACCCCAAAAATGTTGAGGAACCGCACCATGAATCAAAAGAGTAACAAAATACAAATAGGGTAAATAAAAGATATTATTTGATATTGTGATTAACAATATCTAACAATATCTCAACAATATCAAATAATATCAACTAATATCTAATCATATCTAACACTCCCCTCAAGCCGGAGCATACAAATCGTATGTGCCTAGCTTGGTACAAAGATAATCCATCCTAGGTCCCCGTAAAGACTTAGTGAAAATATCTGCTAATTGATCACATGAGTTAACGAACTCGGCCTTGATGTCTCCGGACATAATCTTTTCTCGAATAAAATGGCAAGTCAATCTCAATGTGTTTAGTCCTCTCATGAAAGACAGGATTAGAGCTTATATGGAGAGCGGCTCGATTGTCACACACTAGTGTCATTTGAGTGACATCTCCAAATTGTAGCTCTTTAAGCAATTGCTTGAGCCAAATAAGTTCACAGGTAGCCGAGGCCATAGCTCTATACTCGCTTCGCACTGGATCTTGCCACAACACTTTGTTTCTTACTTTTCCATGAGATCAAGTTACCACCAATGGAAACACAATACCCGGATGTAGATCTTCTATCGAGGGAGATCCTGCCCAATCAAGCATCCGAATAGCAGACAACTCTTGTATGATTATGGGAGTCATACACCAAACCTTTTCCAGGAGACTTTTTGATGTACTTCAATATACGGATGACCGCATTCCAATGATCTTGACAAGGAGAATTGAGGAATTGACTCACCACACCGACCGCAAAGGAAATGTCGTGGCGAGTAACTCGTAAGATAATTTAATTTTCCAACTAATCTTCTATACTGTTCGAGATCCGACATTGGCTTCCCCGATTTGGCAAGAGTTTGGTATTAGGATCCATGGGTGTGTCAACAGGCTTTGAATTCATCAACCCAGCTTCCTCCAAAATATCCAATGCATACTTTCTTTGAGATATAACAATGCCATCGGTAGATTGTGCTACCTCAATACCCAAGAAATATCTCGAGTTTGCCAAGATCTTTGGTTTGAAAATGGTGGCAAAGGTGTTGTTTCATCTCGAGAGATGCCATGATGGTCACTACCTGTAAGAACAATGTCATCGACATACACTATCAAATAGATACATCCAAGCATTCGAGTGACTGGTAAAAGACCGAGTGGTCTCGCCTCACTTCTAGTCATGCCAAATTGTTGAACAACGTCGCTAAATTTGCCAAACCAGGCCCTAGGAGACTGTTTTAGGCCATATAAAGATTTGCGAAGACGACATACCAATCCGTAAGACTCCCCGAGCAACAAATCCGGAGGTTGCTCCATATAAATCTCTTCTTGCAAATCGCCATTCAAGAAAGCATTTTTGACATCCAGTTGATAAAGAGACCATTGTTGAATAGCAGCCATGACAATGAATAAACGAACGAAGCCATCTTTGCCACTCGGAGAGAAAGTATCACCATAATCCAACCCAAAAATTTGGGTATAGCCTTTGGCTACAAGGCGAGCTTTGAGGCGATCAATAGTACCATCAGGACCAACCTTGATAGCGAAGACCCACCCGCAACCAACAACAGCATTTTCCAGATGGTAATGGGACAAGCGTCCAGGTTCCACTAGTCCGAAGAGCACCGAGTTCATCTAGCATGGCCCGACGCCAACCAGGGTGGGCTAAGGCTTCGAGACAGCATTTAGGAATAGACACAGAAGAAATAGACGAGAGACATGTATAAAATGGTGAAAAAATTCGATGATAACTAATAGCGAGTATAATGTGGAGAAGGATTACGAGTAGAACGCGTACCTTTACGAAGGACAATAGGAAGGTCGGACTCGTGGACTGAACCGGAGGAGGCAGAGTATTTGGCACTCGGGAGTGAGTCATGTGGCGTCTGTTGTGGGCGAGGTCTCGCGACTATAAACCCGAAGGGGTGGTGGAGGAGGAGGGGCTAATGGTGGATGGTCCTCAACATAAGGATCAATGAGAACAGGAATGGGAACTGTAGCGAGATGGAGACTCAGCAGGTAGGGAAGGGTCCTTAAAGTAAAAGGAAAACTCATTGAAGGTGACATCTGCAGACACAAAATAGCGATTAAGAGAAGGAGAAAAACACTTGTATCCTTTTTGGGATCGAGTAAATCCTAAGAAAACACATTTGTGTGATCGAGGAGATAACTTATCATGACCCGGATCAAAATTGTGGACAAAACAGGTAGACCCAAAAACCTTCGGAGGTAAAGGATGGAGAGTGTCATGAGGAAATAAAATAGAATGGGGAATTTTGTTATCTAAAACCGAAGAGGGCATACGATTAATAAGATAACAGCAAGTAAGAACAAGCATCACCCCAAAAATGTCGAGGAACCGCACCATGAATTAAAAGAGTACGGGTTGTTTCAATAAGGTGTCTATTCTTGCGCTCACCACCCCATTTTGTTGAGGGGTATAAGCACAGGAAGTTTGATGAAGAATGCCATGAGAAGCCATAAATTGTTTAAACGAGTTTGAAAGATATTCACGGCCATTATCACTTCGAAAAGTTTGAATAGAGACACCAAATTGATTTTTAATTTCATGATAAAAGTTTTGGAATATAGAAAACACCTCGTAACGATTTTTCATTAAAAATAACCAAGTACAACGAGAGAAATCATCAATGAAAGTAACAAAATATTGAAAACCTAAATTAGACTTAACACGACCGGGTCCCCAAATGTCGAGTGAACTAAGGCAAAGGGGGATGAAGCACGCTGGGAAACACTACGAGAAAAGGAAGTACGACTATGTTTGCCTAATTGACAGGACTCACACACCAAACTGGACAACTGGGATAAGCCGGGAACAAGTTGTCGTAATTTGCGCAGACTGGGGTGACCAAGCCGAGCATGAAGGAGAGAAGGAGACTCCATAACCGTGCCAACATGTGGAGAAGGTTGAAGATAATAAAGTCCATGTGACTCACATCCGGTGCCAATCACTTTTTGCGAGCTCCGGTCCCGTAAGGAAACGAAGTTTTGGTAAAAGAGATAACACAATCAAGAGATCGAGTTAGACTGGCTAATGGATAATAAGTTAAAGGGGGACCCGGTACATACAAGACATTATCAATGGACAACGAGGGAAAAGAGTAACCGTTCCAACACCATGAGCTAAAGTTGTAGACCCATTAGCCATTGTAACAGAGGGTAAATTATGAGAAGAAGTGAAAGAGGAAAATAAGGATTTGTTACCGAGTGATGTGATCGGTGGCGCCCGAGTCAAGAACCCAAGAGCCAATAGAAGAAGAGTGAGTCGGACCAAGCAAAAGATGTACCTGTGTGGGCAACGTAAGTAGTGGAACCGGAGGGCTTTCGATCCTCATACCATTGAAGAAAATAATTAAAGATAGCAGATTTGTCTCGAAGGTACAGACGAAGGAGGATCCACAGCAGAGGATTGTGCGGAAGAATCAGTCCGAGCAACCGCAGCAGATCGGCGAGGATAACCATGTAAAGCATAACATTTGTCAATTTTGTGGCCTAGTTTGCCACAATGGTCACACTTGACACGCCCTTTGCCTGACTTGTGAGAGCGATTACGATCATCACGGTGAGAGGCCAAGGCAGATGAATCATTAAAAACAGATTGCTCAGACCCATCGGAGCCGACAGAGGTAACTTCGTAATTGGAAGTGACAAGCGAAGATGCCATGGAGGAAGAGAGAGAAAACCCTAAAACACCAAAGAGGTCCGATTGGAGCAGCGAGGACAGATCCAGAGAGAGGAGAAGGAGGCGACGCCGGCGCAAAGAGCGGCGGCCTGAACGGCGGCGAGACGCGCCGCCATGCGCGGCGGAACGGGAGAAGGTGGCGCGGCTTCGGGAGGCGCGTGAGGGAGCGTGGCTGCTCCGATGACCGCGAAACTTCCACGGTGGAGGTCGCACGGAGGAGGCGAGCAAAACCCTGTGCTCGGCGGTCCGAACTGCTACTCCGGCGACGGCGGCGGCGGCGGCGGCGGCGATGGAGGCGGCGACAGTTGCAGGTTCAGTGGCAGAGCCGAAAAAAAATCCCAAGAGACCTTAAGCTCTTGATACCATGTTGAATATAGGGAAAAACTGTATAGGGTTAATTTCCCTTGTGTATTTACCACACATAGGGCAGTGTATTTATAATAAAGAAAGGTACTCCTCAAAAGAGTAACAGAATACAAATAGGGTAAATAAAAGATATTATTTGATATTGTGATTAACAATATCTAACAATATCTCAACAATATCAAATAATATCAACTAATATCTAATCATATCTAACAATTTCAAAGACAAAACATTTATAGAATTTAGTACCTTATCTCAAGCCAATGGTTGAAGAGGAAAAAATGAAGCTGTCTCCAATCATCACGCCAGCATCAAGCTGTCCAGAAGCAGACTTAACTTTCTAGTTTATCCATGCATTGAATTGCAAGGTCATCACATGAGCAATGACACTTGAATTTGGTCCCCTGCTATCCATGGTGTATCGTAACAGAGACTTTTCCTGAGTAGAGGTTTTAACCAATAAAAACATTTATTACGACAAAGAAGAACATATTAAATCTAAACTAAAGAATGTTTCTTAAACAATTTAAAGTATATTATATTCCAAAATCAACTATCATAGATACCAAGATACTTCACCAATAATTTTAATTTAACCACAAATAGGTTGAGTGGTTGTGGATGTAAAAGCTTGTTGCTGCCTTCTTTGCTTATGAAATACACTGCGGTACAAGTACATATTAACGCAATTGCAGAGATAGAATTAGCACCACTATATAAAAGTGATTCACAAGCAATTGACAATGCTTAATTTGGTCGCAACAGAGAGGGAACTCAAAATTTAAAACCTAAACCCAAAGAAGACCTTTCTGCGTTGGTAACAAAAGAGAAGCGTTCAGAAAGTTGTAAAATTTTATCAATAAAAGTGAAAATCCAAGACTATTATAAACCTTTTACAAGGATGACCAAGATAGTATCAAAATATCCTTGAAGAAGAAACCCAAGATTATAAATTTAAGGTCCATAGCAAACAAAAATGTTCATCAAGTATACCATGTTCATCAATTTCCCTGTATATACAATAAAGAATCTCTAAAATAGACAACATCTAAACACCACAAACTATTTTATTCCACAGATAAGGTGAAAGCAAAATTGTCTCTATAATTTAAAAGTTCATCTCCAGCCATGAGCAGCTAGGCACCAAATAACAGCATGCATCGCATACCATCAAGTTGTCTTGTGCCCTTGACCCTCTTGACTCCTCCCAAAACTTCTAAAATGTTACGTGAGAAATGTGCAATTTTGATGGACCACAGCTGTTGCATCCTGGCTCACAACATGTAAGGTTTCAGCCCTTGACTTACAGGAAAAACAAATATAAGTCAAATCACACCATCGGCAATCAGCAATTGAAGCCAGTTGCACAAAAACAAGCATGCAAGTCAATTGTTTTACCAGTGTGTCATTCAAGTTTCCTGTATGTTGACCCACAAGTCTAGGACGAAGGCATGCTAGATTTGCATCAGAATGAGAACGAGAGCAAAAAAGTTAAGAAAAGGCAGTAGAACAAGAGCTTCAGATTCCACAGACATAATGGACAATTATGACATTGAATCAGTCGCCAAATCACGTTCCCATCACCTCCAATCACTGCTTCATTGGCACCATCCAATCCCAGAAAGACTTCCAATCAGGGAGTAGTTAAGTTACTTGTCCAACTACATCCAGGTAACTTGATGATTTCCTTTCCTTCCACACCCGTTCTCATCTTCTTGGCATCATCCCATTTTCCAACAGTAGCATATATGCTAGAAAGAAGAGAACAATAACCACTTGTGTCACCCTCCAGCTTAATACAATGCTGGACAGCTATTTCCCCAAGATCCACATTATTGTGTAGTCTGCAGGCAAGAAGCAGAGCTCCCCAAACACCAGCATTTGATTGCATTGGCATATTTATTATAAGCTTATATGCTTCATCCAGATATCCTGCCCTCCCTAAGAGATCAACCATGACTCCATAATGATCAATTGAAGGCACGAGTCCATAGTCCTTCATGGACTTAAAGCACTGGTAACCTTTTTCAACCAATCCAGCATGATTATAGGCAGTTAGGAGTCCAGTGTACGTGGCTAAATTAGGACAAATACATTCTGCAAGCATCTGTTCAAATAACTTGATTGCATCACATGCCTTTCCATTTATTCCACATCCGTAGATCATTGCAGAATATGCAACCAAATCCCTCTTTCTCAGGCAATGGAATAGCTTATATGCCATGTCAATGCTTCCACACTTTGCATACAAGTCAATTAAAGCAGTAGCCAAATGATCATCCAATACAATTCCGAAGTCATTCATATGTGACTCAATCCAGTAACAATGTTCCAGATCCCCCAATTGTGAACAAGCTGATATAACACTGGCAAAAGTCATCTTATCAGGATGTATATACATATTGGGCTTAAGCATATCATTAAATAGTTCAAGGGCTTCCTTGGGTTTGCTATTTTGAGCATAACAAGCTATCATAGCATTATATGAGAGCAAATCTTTGTGATCCATCTGGACAAAGAGCTTACGAGCAGAATCAACATCCCCACCCTTTGAATATCCAGCAATCATTGTTATCCAAGATACGCAGTTTCGCCTTGGCATTGCATCAAAAAATTCTCTTGCAGAAACTATGCTTCCACAATCAATGAAACCAGTGATCATTGCATTCCAGGAGACCAGGTTTCTCTCCGGCATTTGTTGAAACAAAGTACATGCCTGATCCATATTTCCTGCTTTGGCATACCCAGATACCATAGTGTTCCAAGATATAACATCTTTCCTGGGAATCTGATGAAATAAATCTTGAGCCTCATCCAAGTTACCTGCTTTTAGATAGCCAGATAACAAAGAATTCCAAGAAACCACACTTCTGTCAGTCATTCCATCAAACACATGTCGAGCAGTCCCCATGTCACCCATTTTCGAGTACAAATCAAGTAGGGCCGTTTGTACATAAACACAAGTATCAAATCCAAACACATGAACTTGCCCATGAATTGATACACCTCCCAACATGTTCTGAATCCTAGCACATGACTTGAGAGCAGAGGAGATGGAATGTGAAGTTGGACACAATCTCATCCTATGCATTTCAACATATAGAGAAACAGCTTCAGTAAATAGGCCCTTTTGAGCGAGGAATCGAATCACACAACCCCACGAGAAGGAATCTGGATTGTGCAATTGGTGAAGCATTGAGGAGGCATAATGTGCCATAGTTCTGTAGTTAGTGACATCCCAAAGAAGCATGTGATGGATTAAAAAAGGTTGAAGAAAACTAAAACCATTGATCAAAATGTGGGCATGGATTTGCTTTGCCTGCTTCACAGTTGAACATTGTTTCATCAATGTCATCAATTTTGTAACTACCATTTAAGCTTTCTTGGGTTTGTTAAAGAAAAAAAAACATTAATCATTCAACCCAAGCAAAAACCTCAGTGGCTGTTGCCAACAACAAGGATGTTCCACCACACTCACAAAAAGTACTAATTAATCCCAAATTATGATACAACTATTCTTCGCGTTCTGAAATTAGCTTAATTTTTATATCCTAAAAATATGTATATTTTATTTACGTATGCTAACAAAATGATAAAAAAAAAGAAAATTATGTCTTTATTACTAAACTTTCAGCTAATTTTTTTTTTTCATTTTTAAAATTAATTTTTTTTGTCATAACACATATTTGCTATATTTGGATTTGCATAAATTTCATAAAAAATCACGTAAAATTCCAATCTTTGATGTGAAAACTAATATCATTTAGCTTCAATTTAATGTGAATTCATGCATTTGGACATGGAACCACACTGGTCAATATGGAATTTCTGAATAATAGATTAATCATGAAAAATAAATAATAGTTATTTCGTCTACAATGGCTTAAATAATTACATAGAATATGTTTAACAGAGACATAAATATAAACAACACAAAAAAATAAAAAAAATAAAATTATTACTATTTCTGTCATATTAGACCTATAAATTAACATAGTAGTTAAATATTATTCATTTATATAACGTGGAGATAATTTATATAGTAAGAGTAACTTTTCATAAGTTTATTATTATTTTTTTGTTCTTTATAATTTTCTTGTATTTTTATGTTCTATATATTTTTGTATTTAAATCACACATAAAGCATAGTTTATTTTGTCATTTACTGTGAATGTGGCTCCACAAACACAAACACTGACGTGTGATACGGTCCATGCCTTTCTTCCTACACCAAGTTCCCAGACATGTTACCCCACCATTTATCACTTTCCTGTCAAATCCAATTACTACTAATTCTTAATTCATCAATCATTATCTCTAATCTAATTATTATTAACGTATTTGAATAACATGGGTTGGTCTCAACGGTAGGTTGGAAAGCATATGAATGCATAAATAATTAATAATTAATAAAGTAGTCTATAGCAGTGCAATAGACCTTAACGTAGCCAACCAAATCCCTCGTATGCGGACCTCACACTGACACAGCACTGTCTACCATGCTAACGTGCGCACCCTCTCTCTCATGCTATGTTCTCTTCTCTCTTCACTCCTTCACTCTCTTCTTTCTTCTTCTTTCAAACCACAGCACAACTATCAATATCATCCGACGTCGTTTATCAAGCAACACACACTTAACTTTTTCTTTTCCCCTTTTTCTCTCATTATTGTGAATCTGATCACTATTATTACCCCCTTTCTCCTGGCACGACACAGCAAAGCGAAAAAACTCTTTCGATACTCACTCTCCCTCCTTCCCTGCTGCACCTTTTGTTCTTTCTTCCTTCTCTCTCTTCTGCCATTCTCGTTCTAGCAACATGTTTGGCTTCTCTCGTCGTCGTATGAAACTTGGCAGGTAAACCAACCCTTGCTTTCTTCAATCACTTAGTTTCGTAAACTGAGTTGCAAATTGTTGTGTCTCTGTGTGTGATATAAAACGTAACGTTGGGCTGTGTCAGATTGAAGGTGCAGCTTTCTGAGGCCAACCAGGGAACCAGAACTCCCGTCAGGCACCCCAAACGAAATGGAAACTCCAATGTAAGTCTTTTTTTTTTCTTACAATTTCAATTTCAGCTAACTCAAATACAAAAACTTGATAAAAAGATTTTTTTTTTTTTCTGTGATAAGAATTGGCCTTGGCCCCACTTGTATACTCTATTTTAGTCATACTCAATGTGGGTTGAGTTTCCGACATATTTTCATCTTCACTCCAACAATGAGTTTGGACAATGAGAATTTCCTAATTTTTTTAGGGTTGTTCCAGGGAGAAGGAGATGCAGGGTCCAATAGCCATTCTGATGAAGTTGATTGCCAGCCTTCAGCTGAGATAAGTAGTTGTGCATCAGGCAGCTCCGAGAACTGGATGGTGTTATCTATTGCTGGGGATAAACCCACTCCTAGATCCAATGTCTGTAATCTTATGATTCTTTTGCAAGTATTACTGTTAGTAGTACATAGGGATTTTATCTCCTATAAACTGAACAATGGTAAAATGAGGAATCTTAGAAGTTGGTGAGAAAATCAACAAGTGATGTTGTAATGCATTCATCATTTGTTTACATGTGCATCTAATATCAACCGTTGACGAAAACATCAAGATTGACATTACTTATTTTACTCAATAAAGTGAATTGGTCATTTTAGAGGAGCTGAATCCTCATATATAGTGGCAGTATAGGTAAAAAGACTGAACTGTCGTTATTCATTGTGAATTGAGAGCAGCACACAGCAGCAGTCATTGGGAATAAGATGATAGTGGTAGGCGGTGAATCTGGGACTGGCTTGCTGGATGATGTACAGGTATAAGTGAGAGATTGTGAACAGAAACATGAACATTAATTACTACTTACTAGCTTGTTTGTTGGTTCATCTCAATAGCTTGGTACTATACATTTTTTTTGTCAGGTGCTGAATTTTGATAGATTTTCGTGGACCAAGGCATCGTCAAAGCTTTACTTATCACCAAGCAGTCTGCCACTGAAGATTCCAGCATGCAAGGGCCATAGTTTGGTACTTATGTCCTATTAGCAACATATTCTTAACACCCTGGCATATCAATTGTTTTTTATTTGGTGTTCTTGAGAATGCTCTTCTATTTTTTCACTATCACGTTTGGCATTGCTTCATTGTGCAAGACATAGAATAACATCTCCTCAATGCATTTATAGATCATAAAAGTAAAGTTCTCGTAAAAGTTGAAAAAAGCAAATAACGGCCGGCAGGATACCTAAGCTTTCTATCCATTGTATATATTATAATAATAATAATAATTGATATGATATGTGTCTGTTTTCAAGTCTCTTACACTTGATGATAAACTGACAAGGTATCCTGGGGGAAAAAGGCACTTCTAATTGGAGGGAAAACAGACCCAGGAAGTGACAGAATCTCAGGTTCAATTTCATGTTATCTACATGTAAAAACAGTTCTTACTTGTTTATTGTTGTGAAATTGTTCTGATTACAATTTTGTGTTTGTGTAGTATGGGCATTTGACACAGAGACAGAGTGCTGGTCACTCATGGAGGCGAAGGGAGACATACCAGTAGGGATATCCGTTTCATAACTGCAAATGCTTCAGTGATAGAAATTGCACTCGAGCATTGTCTTTATTGATATATAGAACCAAATGCTAGTGACTGGATATTGTATTACGTGTTTTGCTCTATCATATTAGTAAATCTTGATAGTAATTATAGATAATTAAAATGTAAAAATAATACGAACCAGGTCATGAATTATGATTGATGACTGACCAGTGGATGGAAAAATTGTCATATCAAACTGAGATTTTTCACACTTAAGGAGCATGTAATTCTCATGTTACATTTGATGCTATTTAGTTGCATTACCAGGAACTGCAGAGAAATGATACAGTAACAACCTGTTATTGCATATTTACTCGAACTAATATATCATCCTTTTCCTTCAATTAAAATCTCTATGTGGACTCTGACACTTAGAGTTTGTTCTTGGTAGGTTTCTCGCAGTGGTCATAGTGTTGTTAAAGCGGGCACTGTTTTAATATTGTTTGGTGGAGAGGATGCAAAAAGGAGGAAACTGAATGATTTGCATATGTTTGATCTCAAGTCCTTTACATGGCTTCCACTTCACTACACGTAAGTGATTGAAAATAAAAGGAACTTTGTAAAGAAAAAGATGGACGGTGCTGTGATTATAGTATCCTGATGTTGTACTGCTTTGCAATTATATTAAATGTAGGGGAACATCACCTTCTCCCAGATTCAACCATGCAGCTGCTCTTTATGATGATAAAATTCTTTATATATTTGGAGGATCATCAAAATCCAGGACCTTAAATGATTTGTATTCGCTTGACTTCGAATCGGTGAGTGAGCTGTGTTAGGTGTAAATTTGTCTATATTCTATACTGCAATACCCTGCAGATGAATTCTTCGGCAACCATTTTATCTGATAAAATTATATATTTCTTCAGATGGCATGGTCCCGAATAAAGATAAGAGGTTTTCATCCATCACCTAGAGCTGGTTGTTGTGGTGTCCTATGTGGTACTAAATGGTATATTACAGGGGGTGGAAGCAGGAAAAAAAGTATGTTTTATAATGGAAGCAGCATTTGTTTCTGATATTAAGCCTACTGTGTTTTGAACTTTTGCTATCTTTCAACAATGGAGTAATAATTTGTACATTGGTCTGACGTGTTTTATTCTGCTTGGTCATAATTGTTACTCTTGCCTTTCTTTTCTAGTGTTAACTCCGTTGGTCGTATAAACTTTGTCAGCATTTCACTTAATTCAAGTTTGTTGAGTAACATTTAACTGGGAAAACAATATTTCTATAGAAACGGTTTTTCTTTATCCATCGGGCAATGAGTTTTGTTGTATTACAGGTAGTGAATTCTGACTATAAGGAAAGGACAAACATAATATTATACATTAAGAACTTGCACGCTTTTCAAATTTTTTACCCTTGGCTCAAAGAGACCTTGCTGAAGTTATGTGTAATATATTATCTACCATGCAAATATTGTTAAAATAGTTTTAATTTTGTAGTTAGTATTGCCTTTTTTATGCATTATACAGTGGCCTGTACATTATTTCACACTATAAACTTGCCTTATTCTTTTCAATATTCCTTTCTTCTACATTCCAGGACATGGAGAGACCGTAATATATGATATTGTAAAAAATGAATGGTCTGTGGCTATCACTTCGCCTCCATCTTCGATCACTACAAACAAGGTATGCCTATTCATCTGCTATCACATATACTGGCCTCACTTTTTTCAACTTTCATTTCTTTTATTATTAATTAAAGGCTTATTAAATAAGTAATAACTGATGAAATCATTGTAATATGCTGATTATATTTCATTGGTAAAAGTCATTTGGCCTTCAAAGATGATTTTTGGTCAACATATTTCTTGTTTCTTCGTTAGCTCTGACATGGTAATATTTACTTCGTAGAATTAGTTTAGTTAGACCACCATGTTGCATAGTGGTTAAATGTGAATTCAATATGTTTAGTCTTGAAGAAAATCCCTTGTGTGATCCCTACCCCCATCAAATATGATATTTCAATTGAATTGTTTCAGCCAATGAGATTTTTAATTAAATCGATTCATTCATGTATTAAGCACTACCTTATAATATACATTGTTATGTCTAGATGTCTTATATTCATATGCATGGCCATCCTTCCTTCCCGATAAATTAAAAGAGATCTGTTGAATTACCAGGGTTTCAGCATGGTACTTGTGCAGCACAAGGAAAAGGATTTTCTTGTTGCATTTGGGGGATCCAAAAAGGAGCCATCAAATCAGGTTTGATAGAAAATATGAAGTTAATATTTGAATTCATTCTTATTTAAATTTAAGCTTTTTCTTCTTGACCTAACAGGTGGAAGTGTTGATAATGGAAAGGAATGAGTCAGCACTAGGGAAACAATCAGCTCCAAGTAAATGTTCAGCATCTGTACTACTTGAAAAACATTCATCATCCGCTAGATTTGCCTCCCAACTTAAAGATTGTTCCCAACATTTAGTTGATTCAGTTGCTAGACAAAATTTAGCTTCTGCAATTGAACATGGTTCTGGCAGGAGATCTCTGTCAGAATCACTGGTTGTTGACCCCAATTTCCCCCCCACCAACACCTCCCTTCGTAAGCAATTTGATCACGATGAAGAATACAATACTGATCTCAAGATGGACAAGAACTCAGATGAAAGTTCCTTCCCTCGGGTAAAACATTTTTTTAATTAGCCTTGTGTTCTAATATAAACACACTTGTTGGACATCTCGAATCATTGGATGCTTTTCAAATATGTTTTCAAAACATGTTGAACCCACCTCAAGCATTTTACCTGAAACATATCTTAAGAGTTATATGCGTGCATCTTGTTTCATCATGCATATTTATAATAAAAATATAAATGAGCTTTTGTTTATATTGTGCACTTGGTGTGAAGATTATGATTTTGTTAACCCTCCATTGTCAACATATTTCGAACACACCCAAACGCATTTATGTAATCACGTTATTTTCTGATTATGTCACCATGACATTTGGTTTTGGTCATACCCTATGAACTATGCTCTCTCACATGTCAAATCGTAATTTAAACATTCAGGGGTCAGAACTGTATATTGTGATGTGCAAATTGTAATAAGCATCTTTATCATTGCAGTTCCATTTTATGTTTGCATGAATTGCATGGACCGCTGGTAGTGAGCTGTTTATGCTGCAAGTTAAGTTTCCTAAAAAAGGTCATATTTCTATGCTGGGTTATTTTGCCCGATGTTGTCATCTTTAACCCTTCTCACCCTTCACTGCATGTAGATCAAATGTTATTTTATAAATTTTTTAAAGTCCATTGTCAAAACCAGGTATTCTAATGTTAAAAACATCTCAACTCATGCTAACTTTAGCAATAATTCTCATTCCTGTTCCTATTCCTACCCTGGTGCTAATATCTATGACAAAAGAAAATGTGGAACATGATGTTTTTATTTGTGACCCATTTCAGGCTGGAGATCACAGAATAAACGAAAATGATCATAGCAAACAGATGAACACTTGTGGAACCAAGACCAATATAGAGGAACAGGCAATGTTATCCGGGATTCCAAGCCAACAAAACCTTGTATTTGAAAATGACGTGCCGGAAAGTGATAATTTGTCATTTTCTGAAAACAATAAATCAGGATCACCGTCTACATCAAATGTCTATCACTACTACGAAAGTAAAGTGGCTTCCCTAATAAGGAAAAATGGAATTCTGGAGGGGCAACTGGCAGCTTCCTTGGCAAGCAAAGAAGCTGCAGAGAAAAGCTTGACATCTGTTCTTAAAAGTAGGCAGGAAATGGAGAGGAAATTGGCGGATGGACAGAAGGAGATGGAATTGATGAGAGAGAAGCTGGCCAGTCTAGAGTTGGCCCAGGAAGAGGCCAACAACCTATCGAACATTGTGCATTCTGACAATGTACGGCTTGAGCATGATGTGGCCTTCCTCAAGGCCGTATTAGATGATACTCAGAAGGTACGTACATGCATGACACTTCATTTGATTGGGGCTTCTGCATATATGGTTATTATTATTGACTAATTAAAATTTGCTGTAGGAGTTGCATTCTACAAGAGGAGTTATTGCAGGAGAAAGAGCAAGGGCATTTCAACTACAGGTACATCTTTGGATTGATTAGTTCGAGTTTAACTGATATAACCTTTTTTGTTTTATATGACATTTATGTTGTTTACGTAGGAGGGGTCTGGGGTGCTGTTTTGTGTTTTGTTTCATGGTGCTATTTAATTTATTCAATTTGATGTTTCCACTCATCTTTGTTGGGTGTTGTACAGTATGAAGTTTTTCATCTCAAACAAAGATTGCAATCAATGGAAAATAGAGCATCCACTACACCCAGGAAACCGTTTCATGTGCAGTGATGATGTAGATGTTTGAAGTAGCTCTTTCCACTTAAAAATTCGATGTGTACATATATATTCGAACCAGTGAATACACCATAGAAGTGCTACTCTCTTTTTTTTGGCATTATCATATCAAGCAGCACCGACTATGTAAATATATTTATTTTTTACTTAATAATTCTATCAATATTTGGGGGAAATAATTCCGTGGATGATGTTCAAACTTGGTTAAATCTTTAAGGCATTTCCACACACTGAAAATTGATAACGTGATTTCCTTTCCAACATTAAAAATGTTTTTATTCGCCTAAACTTTTATTCTAGTAGCAACAGGTTCTGGTGTAAACAATTTGATATATAATTTCTGGTTAGTCGTTTAGATGTTCCTGGTTTTCTAAGAAAAACATTCATCTAAGATAAATTCAGATGATACATTATTAATAGCGTTTAAAAGGTTTATTTGAAGAGACAATATGTTGCATGATTTACTCATGTTTGTTGAAATATTTTTTTTACTTGTAGGAAAATATAATTAAGAAAAATGAAACAAGAAATTAATGTCTTGTAAATACAACACCAGAGCATCGGCTATTTTTTTGGTATGCTAAAAAAAATATTATATTCATGTTAACAATTTTTTCGTTGTTAAAAAATATGATAAGATAATACAGTATATTTTTAATCAAGTTGAAATGCAAATAATATTTACGAATAAAGCATGAGTTGGAAGAGGGGTGCAGTGAGAGGGAGAGACAGAGGATGCGCATGTTAGCACGGCTTGGATGTCAGTGTCAAGTCACTGTTTGGGATCCGCATAATGAGGATATTGGTTGGGCAACATCTGGAAAGAAATTACTATCAACATTATTAAGAATAAAAATAAATATTTTAAAAATTACTATTAAGATAAATAAAAATAAATATTTTATTTAAAATAAATAAAAATAAATATTTTATTATAAATTAAGTGACTTAAAAATAAAAAAATTTATTTAAAATTAAAAAAATTATCTGGATAAATGATTAAATTTTAAATAATTATAAAATTTACAATAAAATATTTAATTTTATTCTTAATTAATTATGCTAACAAAAAATTAGAGACAATTTAATTATTTCACTTCGTACTAAAAAAAACTGAGGGTTTTTTAACTTTAATTTTCAAAAATAATTTTATATATTGATTCAGTAGAATTGAATTAGATCACAAGTACAGAGAGATAAATGGAGTAAATCACATTATAAATGTAAGATTGTACTATCAGCTTCTTAAATGAACCCCGTTTTTATATGGACAATAATATATAAATAACCCAATATTTTAAAATAATCATTCAGTAATTACTTTAATTAATATAATAATAAAAGTATTAATATATATATATATATATATATATATATATATATATATTTAAAAGTTATAAAAATAATATTTATTTAAAATAAATGTTAAAATATCATTTTTCTTTTTTGTATTGGACATTATCAACCCTATAAACCTAATCAATTTCAATTATATTTAAGGGAATTATGTTGTATTATTAGATTAGGTTCAATTTACTTAAATGACTATTAGAATTAAAAATATGGAGACTCTGCTGTCCAATTAATTAACCAACTCACAGCCTAAGTAGAGAAATTTAATTTGTACAATATTTGATTGTGCCGTGATTTTGGTATATCTAAAATTTGCTTCCGCTCAGTAGACACGTTGCTTTGCATGTGCGTTGTTGGCGTTGCCTCCCTCTGTGGTTCCCAATTTCGTGGCGCCTCCGATGCGTTGCATTGCTTGGTTTCGGCGTTGGCTTGCGGCTCAACTCTCGGTGAGTGTTTCGTGTGTTGTTGTCCTTGCCCTCTGTTCCCTGTCTTCTATTTCTCATTGACCTGGTTCATGGTTCATACGCTAATTGATAATAGATGGAGACATTGCTAGTTGAGAATGAGTTTCCAGAATCCGTTTTTTAGATAGATTATGAATTTTGTTCTTTGTTTTTTATTGTTACGTACCTTCATTTAAAGGTTGAATAGTATAGTGTGTCATATTTATTAATAACAAAATATTGATGTAGTAGTTTTATTGTTGTTGTTCAATTTTTGCGATTAAGTAACCATCAGAAAGTGCCTATTAGCTGATATGCACCACACATATCCACACCCACAAAACTAAATTCAAATTTTTTTTTCCAGAGATTGGAAAATAAAAAATAAAAATAATATATATATATTTTACAAAAAGTCATCAATGTCATCTACATTGTATAATTCACCTAACAGCTTCATATCTATGTAATGTCTTCCACATATCTGAATTAATGTAATTAAGAAAATTATGCTTAAGATTCACACGTGCACACTTCCTTTTTCGTTCAATCATTTGGATATTCTTTTCCACTTAACTCCATGTCAGCAGTATCTTTCCACACATTAAGCACGTCATAGGTGTCAATTAGAGGATTTGTGAAAACCGAGTGTACGGTCCAAACATTTTCTTATTTGATATAAGAGTGCCGATATTTTTATGTGAACGAAAGTTGCGTATAAAATAATATTAAATATATAATTGTATATAAAATAATATTAAATTAATTTATGATTTCTTTTTTTCTATCTTTTGTTTCTCTTCTTTTTTTTTAGCTCTTTATTTTGAATTTCACTTTTCTCTCTCGGAGTGTCGGAAGTTCTCAACGCATGGGTTCCCACATAGTGGTTGTTCTCAGAAAATTAGTCGTCGAGCAGCAACATTAGTTCGACGTTGGAGGAAGCTCCAAAGAATTCTCACTCTACGGTTGCGTTGTATGCATCGCTTGTCCTACTCTCTATCTTTATGTGAAGGTAAGTTCCTGCTTTCTATGATTTGAGTTGATTTGGGATAACTATTCATGATTTTGTTTAGACCAAGTTTAGATCAACTGATGGTGGTTGGGATTACAAGCAATCCTTTGAGTAGTATCGAACTGTTTCCTTGTCATATGTTGAACTATCTCCCCTCAGATATTTTGATATGATTTTTTTGCTCTAAGAAACTGACATGTTTGTTTTCTGTACTTTGACTATTATAATTTAATTTATTTATCCCCATGTCTGATTACTTGTGTTGGATTTATATGATTCTGATACTGAGTATTTAGATATAATGGTGGTTTTGGGTTTCTTGTTCTTTATCGTGTTTCTAGATTGTGGTCATGTTGCTAGTAGTTGTTATTGTGGTTTGAGTATTGATGTTTTTTGTTGTTGTTTATTGTGTTTCTAGATTGTGCTCATGTTGCTAGTAGTTATTGTTGTGGTTTGAGTATTGGTATCTTTTGTTGTAGAAACACTTTCTGGTGAGAAAGGATAAGAAGTCACATGGTGGTATTCTGTCATCTAATCAGAAACTGTATGATAAGTTTGTTGATATTTATAGTAATTTGTTGTAAAATTTATACCTAACCTGATTTCTGACAGTATTAAAAAAATTGACAAAGGATGTAATAAATAAAATGGACAATGTTTCATGTAAATTCCAATTTTGTTTACCCAGTACATATATTTGCAGTTTGAAATGGAAAGATATGGAAGCATAGATGATGGATGTTCAAATGTTAAGAAGGTGAATATTGTATCTATTTTGTATAATATTGGATATTCTTTATCATAATTATAAATATTTATTTTGATTTTCAGGTATATTTGCGACATGTTTGTAGGACAAATTATTTAGGTGAAGTAAATAACATTCTTACAATAGAGCAAAGAAATCGTATTGAGTCAACACCATTTAAATGATTGATGTCATTGGGTAGAAAGGTTAAAATTAGTAGAACATTGCTTAATGAATTAATAAGTAGATGGGCTGAAAAGAGAGGAGGGTTTAATATAAGGTCTGAGATAGTATGCTTTAGACTGTTAGATGTGTGTTTAGGTTTAGGACTTCGTGTAGTAGGCGAAAATGTCAACATTGTAGAAGCAAATTGATTGTCATACTAGGAGACTATTTACTAGGAAACATGTTACTTTGGAAATGATTTTTAATGAACTTGTTAAACGTAAAAAATGATTTTTGTAGGTTGTACATACTTTTAGGTTTGTCAGAGTTTTTATTCCCTAATAAAGTAGGTATCGCACATTGTGGATTTTTTAAGTTAATAGATAATATATCTTGTCTTGGAAAGTATAATTGGGGAAAAGCAGTGTATGAATATCTGGTTGGAAGTTTATGTGAAGCATCAATTTATTTGAAGAAACGAAGAAATTGTTCACACTTCCATATACTAGGATGTGTGTTTTTGTTATAGGTAAATCCTAAATTACGATATATGTTTTGTTAGAATACTTTCAATATAGTCATCTGATTTGATATTGTGCATTTTGTTTATATGAATTCATATATGGGCTATGAAGCATCTACTTTATAATACCAAATCATGTAATGAGATAAGTCGATTTCCGAGATTTTTACAATGGACCTCTGTTGTAATTGGGGAAAACAAGATTGTAGTTGCGTTTAATCATAATAGGGTTAGTTCATTAAAAATTTAGTAGAACTTGTTTACAATATTACTTTACCATATGTGAAAATGTGATTTCAATTTGATATTGTTTGTTATTCATAGGTTATTCATGACTTGTGCGTCAGAAATGAAGAACTTACTCATGATATAGTGAAAGAAGCATTAGGACATACCACTGATGCATCTGAAGAATTGAAAATTTGTACTAATATGTTGTGTGAAATTATTGCTGAGAATCAATTGTTGATTGCCGTAACCAAACAACAAGAATCAACAATTGAAAAACTAGAGGAGGATGTAATACAATTACAAGAATTTTTAGATGAAGCAAAACTATCAACAGAAGAGGTAAATTCTCCATCATCTGGGGTGTACTTTTCTCCTGTATTTGAAGGTAGTAGTATTAAGGAGATGAAACATCATACTAAAGTCAAAGAAGAATCAAAGTTCCATTGTGAATTATCAAATATGTACACTCGACTTAAAGCTCATTCAAGAAGAAGGTATAAAAGTTTTATGGTCAAAACA